CACATGCATGCACCAGAGAGACAGAAAGGAAAAGAGAAAAAGCAAGCCATGGGTCCGGGATTCATACCACAGTCAGCCCTGTGGGAGTCCAGCACCTCAACCATCACGCTGCCTGCTGGCCCCCCTTTCCATGCTTTAATTAGAACTTGGTGTCCTGGCTTTATTTGAGTGGGTTGAGCATTACTGCCAGGGGAAGACAAACACAGGCACCATATTCTCTTAGGACTGTCTGAAATTGGCTCAGATTAGTAACGTGCTTTATGAGACCTGCTACTTCAGAGTCTGTAAACAAATCAGTCAGGAGAAAGGCTCCACCATATAACAATTCATAAGGGCTAAAATTGAGCTTGGTCTTCGGGGTGTTACATGAGGGCAGTTAGAAGCCTAGCGACCCAGCGTTCAGCTCTCTCTTGACAAAGTTTGTCAAGAATACACTTTAAGGTCTGATTGACTCTTCCCACTTTCCCTGAAGAGTGTGGTCTCCAGGTAAAATGTAGAGAACATGTTATCCCCACAGCCTGGCCAGATTGCTATGTTCTTTCTGGTCCTCAGAACTGTTTCATTGGCGAATGTCCTCGGCTGGACTGAAACACTCCAGGATCCTTGGAGTCCTTTTTTGGGCTATGACCTATTCTTCCTCTGGTTCTGCCTTAGAGAGGGAGCACACAAAAGGTGGATATGAGAACATCACATAGTTTGTCTCAAGTGAGACTTCAAAGAGGCAGCAGGACTTTTTTTTTTTTTTTTTTTTGGAGAGGTTTTTGCTATAGGGCGCATGTGCTCACCAGAAAGACAGAGAGAGACAGAGAGATAGAAAGTGAGAAATCATCCCCCAGGGGGGAAGGCCACGCCGCAATCCCTTCTCATCCATTCTCTTCTTGGGATCCTGGGCACGCACGCACACACGTCCAGCATAAGTTTAAGCCACCGGGTCTGAGACTCGAACCCCAGTCGACTACATGGGAGTTCAGCGACAGCCATTACGCTTACTGCTGGTCTCGGCAGCAGGACTTTTTTTTTCCTGGGTAGTCAATGGATATGTGCCTCTCCCTTGAGATTCCCTTTTGGTTCTGAAATGCAAGTAACTAAAGGTATGGAAAAGATTAAGGGTATGTCACTCCCTGGAAAAAGTCATTTCAGAAGGTGTCAGAGAACATAGCAAAGGAAAAGAAAGGAAGCTCTGGAGAAGAGGCGGGGAGAGAGAGGAGTCTGGCAGGAAATTGCCTATCATCATGTTGAAGGCGGGCTTAGTTCTCGTGGCAGCAGACTGGGCACGGCCCTTGAGAGACGTAAAATGGTCTATAACAGGTAGGAAAGAGGGTGGGGTGAGAACTTTACCAACCACTAGGGTGAGAAGAGATATCAGGAATAATT